AATAAAGTAAGGATGGATTTCTTTGGGTAGTAAAGTAATCTAAAGAACAAAGCTCATTTTTTGTTGGGAGATCATTTCATGGGTTTTTGAAGTCTTGAGCTTCTGTCGGTTGTGGTTGAGAGGTATGAAGAATTGCAAAGGTTTCATTATGTTTGGAATGTAAGGAGGAGAAAAGAGCTTACCTAGTGGGCTTGGACCTTGTCTCCAAATCCTATGAGGCCCAAAGAAGAGGGAAGATAAAATTGGCTTTTTGGAATAATCTTGTGTTGGTAGTAGCAATTCCTTATACATATAAACATGTCTTTTGCTTTTATTTTTCTTTTTTAGAATTTTCTTGTTTCTTCATGCACTGACCTCTACATATATATGGTGGAAAAGTTGTATTCAGATTTTTCATTCTGGAGAAACGCTTATGATAAAGAACTGGTTGAGCATTCTAGTCTTTCTAGTCTATGTTTGAGTTTACTTCTTATAAATCTTCATAGAGATTGCATATTTCCTTTGCTTTATATCTTCTACGAGAACTAGCTAAAGCCATTGTTTGCCTCTCTTATTTGCTTGTCTGTGGTGTCAAATTCATTTGATTGTCTAAGGTCCCAAAGTGATTGAGACCTTTTCTTTTTTCTGTTTTCTTGTAGAGAGTCAATAGCAGTTATAAGCTGCCGGTATCTAGAACCAATAATGTACTGCATTTTCATGTATGCAACATGCATCTTGCTTGCAATGAGACATTAAGCCGTTTGTTTTCACACTCCAAGCTAGCTATCTTCTTATAGCAGCTGAACTGTACAATTACTTGGATCAGTGGGGGTCTGTCCTGATGTTGTCTAAAAGCACTTGCATGTTTCTTATCTGAGTTTCAGAAAGCAAGGGTGGACAATCTTTTGATGTTCTGTATTTTGGTTATCTTGTGGATATATGATTGGTGAAGAATGATAGAATCTTCAGTAACTAGTTACCTAGTCAAACTGTGCGGGAAAGTCTAGTTAACTTATGCATTCCTTGTTCACTTCACCGAGCTTGCCCTGGAATGTCCTCTTTTAGTTGGGAATTTCTCAAATCCTAATCTGAAATAATTTTTGTGTTTAAAAAGGTAAATGACTACATCAAAGGAAGTTATAGTCATTGAAGTTAAGTAAAACTGTTGTAGTCAAGATTGTGGTCAAAATTAGTTCAGTGTTTAAATGTATGACTTATCCAATAACAATAAACTTAAATCTCCTTGTGCTTCAGGACCCCACTGCAATAATAGAGAGTGGGCTAATTCCTTTTTTGCATATGTTTTGTTCCGTATGATACTTTCAATGCTTGCCTCCCTGTCCTTTATTTATCTACTTCACTTCCCCCTCTTCCCTCTCAATCAGAAGTGGAATATACATCTTAACAAATTATTGATGAAGGTCTTGTTGGAAAGTATGTCAAATGCTAATATACTGAATCTGATGCAGAAATACTGCAAAAACTTTTTATGCTGCGAGCATCTTCTTTGAGATTTTGAATCAGTTTGGCACAATTCAACCTGACGTAAGTTTCTTACTTTGTGTTTACTTCTGTTCCTTCCTTTTAAAAATCCTTTCTTTTGTTGTACTATTTAATTAAAATTTCCTTTTCTGCTAAACAGCTTGAGCAAAAGCAGAAGTATGCAGTGTGGAAAGCCGCTGATATAAGGAAGGCTCTTAAAGAAGGAAGAAAGCCTGTTCCAGGTCCTCCTGGTGGTGAACAGGATTTATCTGCTCCATCTAGTGCTTCAAGTGGTGAATTTGTAAGATCCCAACTTGTCACACATTGTTATTTCAGTGCACCCACGTTTTTTGTTAGATATGTATTCTTAATAAGTTTCTTCACAGCAAGTTGTGTTGTTAAAACATGTTTGATTTAAAGCATTTGAGTCATTGCTGCTGATGTAGTGTATGGTGACAAGCCAAGTATTGTCATGAAGGACATCCTTCCTTACAACTACTAATGTTCACTTTCCATTTCTTTAACTTTAATTATCGTAATAATATATTACTCTCGATCCAAGCTCATATTTATAAGGGTTATCCAAGTTCAGTTAACAACTACAATGAGTATCAAATTTGTTCAATTAAGTTCAGACAAGTGAAAAGAAAATCAGATGAATAGAATGCACCCTAATACGGCGAGAAGTCGAGTATTACGGTGAAAGAAGATATTTTTGCTTCCCTTGTCTAAGGATAAAAGTATTGCTGATTTTGTCTTTTCCTAGTAATGTACATAGGTTTACAAACCCTATTGGAGGTTTAACCCAAACCAATAACACTCAACTTTTGTTGGATCAATATCTGATGGGAATTATTGCTTGTTGATAGCTAAATTGTACTTCGGTAATCTGTAAAGTGGACTTTTTGTGTGGGAAAATAATATATCTGAAGCTTTTTGATAAAAAGTTTGGCGTTCATTTAACATGATTTTTGCTGTTTTAATTTACTAGGGATACATCTATAGAGGCATCAAATTTTTGTATCCAGTGACAATGATTTTCTATTGATATTATTTGTACTAAGATTCTGAGGTTATAAACTTCTAAATGTTTTTCTCACAGGATGTTGACCCAAGGCAGACAGGACATGATATCAGTCCGGGTCCAGAACTGGATCGAATGCCCTCTGCTCATTTTCCAGATGGTATGAGGAGGCAGCCTTCCACTGAAGGCTTGCCATCACCTCCATCTTTTCCCAGTGGTGATTATCCTTCTCATGATTTTCAATCTGGTCCTGGTTTTGGAAGGCCAGAGAACCCTACTTCCCACAGTGCTGATTATCCTTCCCATACAGCTGATTATCCTTCTCATGATTACCAATCTGGTCCTGGTTTTGGAAGGCCAGAGAACCCTACTTACCCTCAGCCATATCAGAGTCAATCTTATCCGCAAGAACCTCCACATCTACCACAGGTTCCACAAAATTATCATACTCAGGACGTTCCAGCACCCTTAAACTATCCTAACTTTCAGTCATACCCAAGTTTTTCAGAAAGCACTCTCCCAGCTGCCCCATCACATCAGCCATCTTTTTATCAAGGTTCTGATGCTTCATATTCACATCAGTCTAGCCCATCAGTAACGAACTATGCGTCAGTTCCTCAGTACAGTTCTAGCGGAAGACATGGAATTGTACAAGATGTCCCAACCAGTGTTCAGACTCCAACCAGTGCACAGACATACCATTATGATAGTAACTACCAGCCCTCAGCTGACAAGATTGCCGAAGCACATAAGGCAGCAAGATTTGCTGTAGGGGCATTGGCATTTGATGAGGTGCCTGTTGCAGTTGAACATCTCAGAAAAGCACTCGAGTATCTGACAAATCCTTCTGCAGGTCAGTAGGTTTGCCGTTTGATACTACCAAGATGATTTGGCTGTGATGATATTTTTGTTGCATCCTTGTTTTTTCCTAATGGATTGAGTTGTAAATGTTACTGGATATGTCAATGAGCAATTGCCTTTACCCCAGATACATGAGTGAATGAAAATTATGTTTGCTTTTGAAGTGTGTACTCTTGTCTTAAAGTTTGATGGTTGGGTTGAGATTGCAGGAACTATCATGAAATCTGAAAATGCCCTGCTTATTGGGTTGCATGATTTTCTGATCTGTCTCCTGTCTAATAAGACAGAGACATACATAATCAAATTGTGTCCATGCTGCTTCAACTTTACCCTTTGAAACCATTTCTGAATGTCGAATCAGACAGTGTGCTAATAATTTGCCAAAAGTACATTAGAAGGGACAGTCCAATATTAAAAATTACATGATTACATGCATTTTAGTACTGTTCACTTTATTTTCTTCAATGATTTACCATTTTGTTTTATCCATGCATGACACAACTTTCCAGCACTTCAGGAAACCCATTTTTTAGCCCCAGTTTTATCCACAAACACAAGCACTTATGCTGCGCCCTTTGTGTTTCAGAATGATTTGTATAAACATGAACCATAGTAGTGATTTCACCCTAGAAAGGAAAACCTTGTTCTGTTTCATTCGTCAGATAAAAGTATTTCATTACTATGTGTAGAAGCACGATATCATCTTTACCTAAACTGAATGATGCTGAAACCCTCATTTTCAGAGATGTTATATTATGATGCAGAAACGTTATTAATGCTAAAATGCATTGCTTAAGTTGATCACTGATTTTTAATTTTTTTTTTTCGTCAAAACCCTTTTCAGCTCCTGATACTTGAGGAAATTAGTAATTTTCTGTTTTTTTTTTTTTTTTTTTTTTTTTTTTTTTTTTTCCTCTTTGTAAAAAACCCACTTGAGCAAGTACCAGATGATGGACATCTTGGTCATCTTTTTATGGGGTGAAGGGCAAATTAATCAATTGAACGAGTATAGAAGAGAGAGTAGGTACACCGCAGATAGTTGTGGTGATTAGTTGCACTGAACCAAGCACCCAACCACGCTTAGACCTACCTGCCAACAGGGCTGGAATTGTTCCACAAATTCAGCTCAATAGCTGTGGTGAATGGTTGTGTTGCTCAAGCCGAAGTTAAACCGACCTGGCATATGGGCTGGAATCGTTCCACAAATTTAGTTCAGTCGACACAATTATGTTTAAGCCTATACTTTATACTTGAAACAACATACTTATATACACCTTCCTTGTTAGGTCACTTGTCGACTTGTATCTGTAAGACTTGGCCCAAACTTTTACCGGACTACTGTAATGGCTAAGCCGAAGGCCATAATTCAACTCTATCATTTAAATAGATCACGTTTATGTTTACTCATACATCTATTTTTATCAAACCTAGGGTAAAGGACATTTGCCTCACTACTTGCATCCTACTTCTCTTACAAGAATATTGGAGGTAATTTTAAGATATGTTATGTTATAAACAATAAATTAAGTCCCAAAATTGAGTGTTAGAATGTAATATTCTTTATCGTCCACCATTGTTAATCTAATCAATATGTATTTGAATTTTGCATCCTCAACTTTGTACACAACTAATTTTGAACGCGTCTCAAGCCGGATTTACTAACTTAACCCTGCGTTAGACACATATGCACCCGAGTGCACTTAGCTATATCTAGCTACTTAAGGCTATTTTGCTGCTCATATAAGGTTAATTTAGCTCCAAATGACTAGGATAACAATCTTGTAAGTCCACTGAAATGCATAATACGAAGTAGATTTTGCACATAAAGTTGACATGAACATATGTAATTTTTTTTTTCTTACTTGGTTAATAATCTTAAAAAAATACTCTACGTAGATTGAAAAGGCTAACAATAAAGGCAAAAGGAAAAAAAAAAAAAAAAAAAAAAAGTAAACAAACAAAGAATACACAAGATTAGATCAACTTAACTAAAACCTACAGTTTTTGACTTTGATCATCAGTCAGCAAAGACCCACCTAAAACCTCACTTTCTACTGCCTTTTTTGAACTAATTAGATATTCGTCAAAGTAGTCATTGATTTTTGGTTTGAGCAAAAAGAAAGGGAGGCAACAATGTGGAAAAACTGAAGTTGTTCTAGTAGCTCATTTGCATGATTTGTAGCTCGGTTTTCCACCCTTAGAAAGAGCTCATCGCCTAGCTTGTCACCTATGTGAGCGTCGACAAGGACCCCACAAACACTCCGGCAGCTGTTGGCAAAGGCTTGACCTACCTCGGTCGGGTCATCGGGGTGACTCACTACCAAGGGACTTCCACCCCTAAACACTTCTAGCTTGTTTATGGCAAATGAGCCATTGGCTTCTACTACTTCCCTGAAGTCTTGTAAACTTGGTGCATAGACTGGAATATTGAAGCTGTCACGTTTTTCACTAGTTATGAGACCCTGTAAAATTGTAAGAAATGTTTTGATGAAGTTAAAATACAAGTAATATGTGTGAGTGTGACAATTGTAATTTATTGTCTCTCCCCCTCAGAAATAACAAAATTTATATTATGAGTAAAATATTTGAGAAGTATTGCACATAGATTAACTAGTTTTGTGAACAAATTTTTAGTGCACTTGAAAGTATGTGCATCCTGACAGTATATACGACAAATATTTAAGATTTTATGTTTAAAGTTTTAAATGTATATCGTTAGTTGAATTGTTATCACATAAATTGAGTAACAAATCTCAGATCAAGTTGCCAAAAAGCTTGTACAAAAACATGCCATCATATAATCATAGGTAATAGTTAATATTCGACAATATGATTATAAGATAAACAAATGAATTGAAGCTTATATTAGGTAAAAACACAATAAAATTATCCGAGAACATATAATAGCTGTAAATGCGTTAATATAGAACATCATTCATGATTGTCAATTGCTTGATGCTTCTAACAACCTTAGTTATCATTATTCTTAGTCAACATACAAATATACAATGAACCTTTCAATTTCCCAAACAAAAGCTAGAAAATTGCCATTTTGATCAAATTGTGCTTTTAAGGGATGTTAGGGTAGGCATGATTCCAAAGAAAAAGAGATAATTTGCATGTTTCTTTGATAATAATAAGGAAATAAAATTGCATATAATAATCATGATTTTTGTATAGCATGCAAATATGCAATGGTTATGAAAATCTAGTAACTAGTTTAGTTAAAACTTTGTACTAGTAATTAGATTTACCTCTTGGACAAGTTCATTCCATGCATCTTGAAAGTGGGTCCCAAAGAGAAGGCCAGCCCCACCTTGATCAGTGGGGTCCATTGAGGTCCTTCCTAAGCAAACAAGGAACATGGACCCACCTTTCTTCATTTCAACTGCTCTTGCCCTTAAGAATCCAGCCAAATCTGTTTGGAATTGCTTTTTATAAGCATTTGCTATCATCTCATTTGATCCATGAATAAATATTCTTCCTTTGTTGTATGCCTTTGACCTCTTGTCTAATATACTCTCTGGAATCTGCAATATTTCATGCAAAAACTAATTATTTACTCCATTTAATATAATGAAACACTAATAAGGTGACAATTAAATTCGAACATAAATATATGTTAAATTTTAAATCCACACCGAAACAATAATGTATTTTTATTATAGCAAATTAGTGTGTGGCCCAAACGATGCACCGGATTTTACTTATTATATCAATAAATATTATTTGAGCTATATAATATAAACTATATAATTAAAATAAAAGTGAGCAATAATAATTATGAAACTAAATAAGTGCTCTCAAATTGTTGTTTAATACAAAGTATTTAGTATATTATAATTAAAGATAAAACACAATTAAAAGATAGCAAAGATGGTAAGGAAATGAATTCATTTCTTAGTGCTCTTGTGTTCAAACCTTGTATTAAACATTTTTATGGCACATATTATGTTTAAGAACGCTTTTTAATATATAAGTAAAGACATAATTTTAGCTAATCTCTTGTTTCGAATGATGTTTGAATTAAAACAAAAAAACAAAGTTATTATTACCCTTTTTTTAACTAAGATACTTACATGAAAAATAACTGAAATCTCCCTTTTATTCTATTACTGTTGATTTCAACTGTGCTAATTACTGTATTACAGTATCTAACTACATTTTAAAGATTGTCATTGGCTTATCCCAAAGTTATGGCTCACTTTAGCTTAATGTATAAGCTACAGTTATACTAACATAAAGTAATTATTCCTGGTGGCATGTATCTCATTTTCCCCTCTTCTATAGAATATAGATTAAACGGAGCACATAATTAATCTTTATGATCAAATTCATTTCACATTATAACTTAACCCCTGTGTGTATTACGTACTCCCTACGCCTGTAGATGTTATTCTCCCTATGCCTGTAGATGTTATTCTACTTTGACTTTTTTATGAGACAATCACCGTTAAAATAACACAAACATTTTAAGAAAGAGACGAAGTACTTTTAAATTAAAATTTAAGTTAGGCCTCGATTTTAATCTAAAATAACAAGAAACTTTCTCTAGGAAACATAGGTAAGTTATATACCTGAGATAGCCAGTGCAAGGAAAATGCGGAGTGAAAAACATCAATGGACCTCGCCGGGAAAAGGCGACGGTAGAAGCTTCCGGGAACCCCGGCAGCGAAGTAGGATCGATGCTTATCAGCCGCCAAGCACTCCTCCATGCTACCACCTCCCACCCCATCATAGGGGTAGTAGTTAGGAAGCAGTTGAAAGAGGGTGTTAAAGTCATTGGATGGGAGGTCAGAAAAGAAGGCCGAGAACTCGGGTGGCTCGTAACCCGAGGCCTCGTACCGCTTCGCCATGTGGTTAACCATCACGTCGACGATGTAGATGGTGTTGGAACCACAGGAACATCCTAGGTCAACCACCACAAAGGGCGTGCTTGGTGGTCCTAGTTGCACCCTGTCTAGGGCCTCTCTTAGGAGGTGCAACATTGATTTTGCATGTTGTGCCTAAAAAAAAAAACAAATAAAATCATGTGTTAGCATAATGTTTGTGACTAATTAATCAAGATGAATAATTTTTTTATATTACAAACAATACTCTTTGCTACAAATAATAAGAAATGGTGGTAGTATTAATGTTTTTATTGCAATTTATTTAAAGAAGCGCAAATTTTAATACAATAGATATAATGTAACGTATACAAGAAAGATTTGATACGTGAATATACGGTAACTTAAGTTCAAAACTTGAAAAGGTAAAGAGGGACAAAGGAATACTCCTTAAATCTCTCTAACTATATATAAAAGAATATCAATTTCGTTACTATTGATGTATTTTGGGAGTACATGAATGAATCAGTTATGGTATAACAAAATCTAAGAATACAACGTAAAAATAACGTTATAATTTATTTTTTTCTTTTAAATCTTTTCAAATAACTCAAAGATTACTGATAATTAAACCAAATAATCATCATTAAAATTTAAAATATGAATTGACATCTAAAGGATCTAATAATCATGCTTGATCTACTAATGATATAGCAATAACAAACGTTATTTACTTAAATATGTGTGATTTAATTAATTATATGAAAAATGAAATGATATAAAACCTGGGCTTGAGAATTATTTGCATAGCTGGTTTGATCCTTGCCACCTTTCATGCACAACATCTTCTCAAGCTTCATATTAGAAACCATGACATCCTCTCCTTTATGAGACATGGCCGATCGATCGAGTTTACAACCAAATCTAATGTCAAATTTCTCAAAATTATACAATTGAAGATCAATGAATGAAAGAGGGTGAAATATATTGTTATTTTTTTTTGTTGAACTATAAAATGTGAAGTGTGGTTACAATAAGGCTAGAAATTAGTATATATGAATAACCAAACAACGTGGAATAGGAGTGTGGGAATGATAGAAGGTAAGAATGAAAACTTGTGCTGTAGTTTGGGTCTATTTATAGGAGTCAAAAAGTTGATATGTGGGAGAAAAATTAAAAATAAAGATAAGCTTGCCATTTGGGTTACTACTTTTGGGGTATTTATGTTGCGCATGGGGTACTAATGTGTGTGCATATTAGAATAGTATGGGGTTTGTAGTTTGTTTGTTGAGCAATTATCGTCTGATGCTGGTAAAACTGTCTCACACTAACTAATTATTTATTTGGTGTAAAGAGAGCCACATGGTACAGACAAAACTGCATGAATTTGATTTCAGGTTATGGGAATTATCCTCAATAATATAATCATTAAAACAAGTTGACATTTGCATGCCATTTTTGTTACATTATAAAAAATGAAAGATAATTTATTTCAACCTCCAAATCCTAACTATAAATTAAATAATACACTAAAATATTACTTAATAGATATGGTAATCACCTAATTCAAAAAATAATACACTAAAATATTGATTATAATTACATATCCTAACTTCCATGGGGGTTACTAAATAATTCATAATTATTATTCTGATCAACAAATGATATGAGTAAAGTGTTATCTAATAATATGGGGCATATTCACATGGTAGAAGTCAAGGAGAAAGATAGAAGGCCAAGATTGACGGCGGATTTTGGTGTTATTATTTTAACATGTCATGTTATTAATTATACTAATTAAGCTTATATTAGTAACTCCATTCAAAAAATTAAATTAATAGTAAGTCCCTTACTACTCGGTCGTCTCTAATTACCTTCCCTCACGCGTTTTGTTTCATAGATGCCGATTTGATTGTTTGAGAGTCAATGTTTGAGAAACACTCTCATAACTTTTTGGGTTAATATTTCTCCCACCATGTTTGATATTATCAGCGCGACAATTATAGATCTTGTATATAACAGTATCGACAAATAAACTTATACAATTAACTTATGATACACGTTTAGCGTATTGTATACAACTAAATTTATCAACTTCAATCTTTGTCAATTTGACATTTATAATTTTTGATGGAATGAATATATATGTTGTATACAAATAATACAACACACAAGTTCCAACATTTATTTAATTGGCTTTTCATAATACATATGTTCATTACGCAGATAAAATTATATGTAACAATTAAATCTATTAAATCGTCGGAGTTACTGTACTAATGTTTAGGTGGCGTAGACTTAACATATGTTCATATGCGTGTTCGGGCATGTATGTGTCGCATACGCAGTCGTCAACACCTAACTTTAAGTGAATAATGTACATTGTACAATAGATTTTGTACAAATGAATAATGTGAAAGTAAGAAGATGGTGATTTTGTCTGGTACAAGTATCTAAAACTAGCAAAAGTATGATGTATATCTTCCTAAAATCCCACCTGTCATGCCTCAAAGAGTTAGACAAGCACTAATTACATAGTGTTCTACCCTCTTGGGAGACCATGCTACTGTATAACTTTCACTTAATAAGACACAATCATTTACCCTATTTTACCTCCTAATCCTAGCCATTTCATTGGACATGTCATATATTTATAATAACCTATGATTATATGCTTTTCACTTCTATTTTTTTTAGTTTACAATTGTGCTAAATTATTACCATAATTTACCCTCTTTTGTAATTATTTCTATAGACTAGAGTGTTCATAAACAAGATTAATTATAAATCCTAGTAAAGAGAACTACTTAGTTTGATCATTAGCGATATCATTTGCACAATAATTTAGCTAATAAAGTGATAATTAATTTATTTAGGTTAATTAATATTGGGTTAACCATGCAATACTGTCGGCAATGTATTTGTGTTGAAGCATGATTTTATCTTTACAAAATAAAATGAGAGATAATCATTCACTTAAAACTTTTAAAGGGAAAAAACACGTTAAAGATAAGCCATTGCTACTGCATGCACTTGAGCAATAATCAACTAAGAATACCCTTTAAAAACAAAAATCAATTATTAGCTACTTGGCTACTTCTATTAATTACTCATGAATGAACTTAATTTGAGTATATATATATATATACTTATTATGCACAAATTCACACTTATAAACCTTTAAAAAGGGAAGCAAGCGCATGCAAACTTTTTTTTTTTTTTTTTTTTTTTTTTTTTTTTGGTTAAGAGAGTCATAAAAGGCAATAATATAGATGAGATTTGATATAATGTTTTGACTACTACCCATAAGCTAGCTTTAAATCAACTGAATTAGTTGACATCCACATACAGTGTAATTATATGCAAGTACTCATTGTTTGCATAAGAATTAAAAGTACTAGTTAAGATCAGACTATAATTACATTTTGTATTGTATGATGATTCATAGAGAAAAACGTCTATCGGAGAACATAACATTGAAGTTTAAAGAGAAAATAATAAAAAAGAAAAGCAAGAGTAGTATATCAAAACATATATGCAATACGCGATGGTCGATATATTAATGTGCAAATCAAATCATGAGTTCCCCCTTAGTTTTCAGCAATTTAATTCTCACCATAATCAACATAACTTTCCTGACTTTTGTGCTCTCCTAATCTCCTTTCACCAATCCTTAGAAACGCAGTAGACTCGTAGGTTTAGCTTGATTTCATTTGCTAAAAGAAAAAGACGATTCTAGGCTAATTAATTAATTTTAATTTTTGTCTGATTGTGAAAGCATTAATGCTATATGTTAAAATGTTATTGTTTATATATATTAAGGCCCAAATTCTAAGTCTACGTATCAAATTATAGGTCAATTATCAAGATTTAGTTAAGTAGGTAGAGTCACATCCCAAGGATATTATATTATTGCAATATATATTGCAATAATTTTGGAACTTATATCTAAATTGAGTTAAATCCCAACGTGACTATTAAATTAATTGGCTTAATTTTTGGAATAATGTCTAGTTTTGGTTAATTTGATTACAAGCATACAGCATGCAAATAGCTACCATATATTAATGTCTAATAGCTACTAAAGAGTTAAAGCAAATAAATACTTGATTTTAAATTGAGTAAACTAGACAAAATAGACCCAATTAATGTGTTTGAGATTAATGTCATATTGATAGTAGTATATTACGAGTAGTATAGTTTGAATCATTATAACAGTACGTGATATGGATGTGCGATATTAATTCATACGATGGTGGCAATAATTCATAATTTGTCTTATATGAATTACTTGCATAGTTGCATGATAATTACCATGCATTGATTTCTCATTATTTATGACCTCTTTATCATTGGAATAATTCTAAATTAATTTATTTTTAGTCATAAATACTATCATGAATTTTGACAATATTTACGTAATTCGATCACCTTCTATTATTTTCGATGATTTATACATACAAATCGAGTTTACAAGAATAGATGATCTTGTACACAATTTATAAGAATAGGTGATCTTATACATAGTTTATAAGAATAGGTGATCTTGTTACGTTTAATTCATCTTAATATAAATGTAAAATAACATACAACCTATCATGCATTTTGACCCACTCCTTAGTGAAAATATAACTCGCAATAATATACGGGTGCATGCAGGATGAAAAAGGCAAAAAGCTCATCACCTTTGCAAATTCCGATTCTCATCGATATAATCATATATACGTAGTATTAAATTAGGCAGACAGATAGTTTGAACCATTCCCACTACCACTAATCTGAAAGTCTCTTACACAATATGGATACAACTAGCAGTGTTTTACAAGAGCTTTACCAACCCCAAATGTTTAGTTGGATTTGAAATTGAATCTATACCTAGCTAGCCTCCTAGTGGCCTCTAAGATTTCGTTGAATTTATCTTATTTTGACTTAATTTATGTAAATATATTCAAATAATTTAAAATACAACACGTTTAATGTGCGGATGGCCACACTATATGATTAGCTATTTGTAAAAGTACAAAGTAGTCCTTACAACACTTATAGAATAGTCCTTACAACACTGAAGTTGTTGGAGATAAGAGTTGACAGAATCTAACTTTATCTTATTGTTATAGTTGTTATACATAAAGATAGATATGCATATACTTTAGTTTGTTAGCTTTGTAATCTATTTGTTAATTATCCTTATCATGTACCTGGTCTAGTCTAGTTGTATCTAGCTGCTTGTAGCTTGTATTATAAATACGTTTGCCTCATTGAGAATAATATAATTATTTTCCCCATCTTATATATCAGAGCAAGTTTCGACCTCAATCTATTTTTTAATTCCTGTAACACAAACCGAGTAACCCATATATCACAAATGAAGTAATTCTCATAAGACTTTCCACATATATATAAGAATTTGTGTTTAGCGTAAATTTATATAGAAAATATATACTTTTATATAGACAATTTTAAACAAAATCGACACAAATACTAAGATGATTTGATTTCAAATAAAATAGGTTTTTTTTTAGACTATATATAAGTTAAAATAAAATAGACTCAATTTCAGACAAGATAAATTGAGTCAAACACGATTAAACGAATTCAAAAAAAAAAAAAAAGTCCAAATCCAAGACTGAATTGCATCATATTCGACCAATAAGCAAGGCAAGCATTGCAGCTTTGGGAAGGTGTATTATTGTATTGCATGTCTTCTACTCTTTTTACCTTGGCTTAAAAGGAAGAAATAATATGTTTTCTTTTTTGCTTTAACAGAACAGTTAAAGTCTTATTTCTGACCATGCAAATATATATCTATATATATGTATTTAAATTATAATAAGAAAACTTTTTAGATTTTATGGCCATGAGAATGTGCCTTTTTAATTCTTCATCCTTTATTGTTTGGCCTTTTTCTCTAGGGTTTCTAATTTCTGTTTTGCCTTTGTTAATTATTTCTGATGCTGCCGGTTGATGCTTTTTCTAGGTCCCTCCCCTTAACTTTTGGGTGCCCCCCATTCAATTCAATTTCATGAAATATGGTATCTTTGAAAATTAATTCAATTTGTACATGACAATTAAAAGAATAACTTATCATGCATGCATGTATCATATTGATAGACTACATTCAAAGAGCTAATGGTCGGTTCCTCTTAGGAATCGCAACCCTAGTTTCAAAAGGAGGTATAATGTACATGTCAACTGTAATAATAATGTCCGATTAATTAACTAGTTGATATTCATCATATTAATTTCGTTGTATACTAAAATAAATTAATTAAACAACTATCAAGCGGTCAATATATATATATAAATATTC